TTAATTTTAATAGAACTTCATTCTGGATATTCATTTGAAGTTCTTTTTCTTAATATAAGTGATCAAGGAACACATAAAAAATCCTTTACACTAATTACAGTCTACAGGCCACCAGGGCCGAATTCTCAGTTCTTACAGGAATTCTCTGAGTTTCTATCAAGTCTAATAACACTTTCAAATAAAATAATAGTTGTCGGAGATTTTAATATCCATTTAGACAATCCCCAAGATGCACTAAGCAAGGCATTTATATCTATCATAGACTCCATAGGTTTCACCCAAATCATAAAGGGGCCCACACACTACCACAACCACACTCTAGACTTAATACTGACTTTTGGTGTAAACATAGATAACTTAGCCATTCTCCCCCAGAGCACAGCAGTCTCTGACCATTACTTAATCTCTTACGAAATTCACTTTAATGGTAATGTGCGTTCATCACCATGTTATTGTGTCAAGCGGACAATAACTCCCTCCACAGCTGGTGGCTTTATTAGAAACCTTCCTAAATTATCAGCCGCTCTCAGCTGTCCATCTAATCCTACTGAGCTAGATGCTATGACCAAGCTCTTAGAGAATAGTTTTCGATCTACTCTAGATAGTGTGGCCCCATTAAAAAGTAAAATAGTAAGTCAGAAAAAACTCGCCCCCTGGTATAATGACCACACTCGGGCTTTAAAACAGAACGCCAGACAACTAGAGCGAAAATGGCGCCTGACTAAGCTAGAAGTGTTCCAGTCCGCCTGGAAGGAGAGCCTTATAGACTATAGACGAGCACTTACTGCAGCACGCTCAGCTTATCTCTCCTCTCTCATAGAAAACAATAAAAATAATCCTAGATTACTATTCAGCACAATCTCTAAACTAACAGAGAACAAAACAGTTAGTGAACCCCAGATGCCATTAGCCTATAGCAGCAACGATTTTATGAACTTCTTTAGTGATAAAATTGAAAAAATTAGGCAGAAAATTCAGAATACGCAATTAAACTCTAGAAACCTGCTTCCCCATAATGCCAGCCTCAACCTTGAGAATACTATAAACCCTGCAGAGAGGCTGGAATCGTTTACCTTACTCCAAGAAAATGAACTATTTAAAATAGTCTCTTCCGCAAAATCATCTACCTGTATGCTAGATCCGATTCCTACAGGTTTACTCAAGGAAATTTTGCCAGAAATAACCAAGCCTATTCTGTCAATAATAAACTCCTCTCTTAGCCTTGGGTACATCCCAAAATCTCTTAAACTAGCAGTAATTAGACCGCTGATTAAGAAAGCAAACCTCGATCCCTGCGAACTATCAAACTATAGACCCATCTCGAATCTCCCCTTTATATCAAAGATCTTGGAAAAAGTTGTAGCAAAACAGTTAAGCTCCTTTTTACATAGGAATCAAATACACGAAAAATTTCAATCTGGTTTTAGGCCACATCATAGTACAGAAACAGCACTAGTGAAAATTGTAAATGATCTATTATTATTTTCTGACCAAGATCATGTGTCCTTGTTAGTCCTCCTCGATCTTAGTGCAGCATTTGACACAATAGACCACTCTATCTTACTAGATAGACCAGAAAACCTTGTAGGGGTAACAGGAACAGCTCTTTCCTGGTTCAGGTCCTACCTCACTGATCGGTATCAGTTTGTTAATATAAACGGTGAATCATCTGTTCTCACAAAAGTAAAATATGGTGTTCCACAAGGCTCTGTTTTAGGACCTGTATTATTCACATTATATATGCTACCACTGGGCACCATTATCAGTAAACACGGCATAAACTTCCACTGCTATGCCGATGACACTCAGTTATATTTAGCAAGTGACCCAGATGATAGAATTAAACTTAGCAAGATTGAAGACTGTATAAAAGACATAAAGGACTGGATGTCGAGTAACTTTCTCCTTCTAAACTCGGATAAAACAGAGGTTCTGCTTCTTGGTCCAAATGCAGCCAGAAACAAACTGTCTGATTTAACACTTAAACTTAACAATTTCTCAGTTGCATCAAGCTCATCTGTAAAAAGCCTTGGTGTCATTATAGACCCTGATCTGTCCTTCAACACACACATAACTAATATCACTAGAACAGCCTTCCTGCATCTTCGCAATATTGCTAAATTGAGAAATGCATTCTCTCTACAGGATGCAGAAAAGTTAGTTCATGCATTTATTACTTCAAGGCTGGACTACTGTAATGCCCTGCTGTCTGGATGTCCCAGCAAAAGCGTTAACAAGCTTCAGTTGGTCCAGAACGCTGCAGCCAGAGTTCTTACTAGAACCAGAAAGTTTGACCATATCAGCCCAGTTTTATCAACCTTACACTGGTTACCAGTAAAATTTTGGATTGAGAAGCTTTCTCATACAAAGCCCCCCAGCTTTGGAATAGTCTTCCTGTTAATGTTCGGGACTCAGACACAGCCTCAGTGTTTAAGTCTAAGCTAAAAACCTACTTGTATAGTCGAGACTTTGGTAATTAGTTTTCCCTGTTAGTTCTATACCTGCCAGAGTCTCTGCTAACACTGTAGTTTGTGATTGGTCACCCATTACAGAACTGACTCTGTGTGTTTTCCTCTCTGTGTGTTTTCCTTTTTTTTCTTCGGCGAGTTGAACAGCTGCCCATCCTGTGCGTCTGATGCTGCTGCCTTTTCTGCCTCGATCGGGTGCCACTGCTCGCCAGCCCTCTGGACCAGCTTACCAACATTGAGCCTCCTGCTGTACAACGCCGTGCAAACCTCACCCTCACAACCTGACCCCACTGATGCTGCTGCTTCTGCTGCAGCATGAACTGAACTATTCAAATTAATTGTTTCCTTCACGTTTTACCCTGTTTTTGTACTATAATACTTTATACTAACAATGTTTACTATCCGGTGTCGACCAGAGGAGGATGGGTTCCCCTTCTGAGTCCTGGTTCCTCTCAAGGTTTCTTCCTGTTTCTCTATGGAGTTTTTCCTTGCCACTGTCGCCACTGGCGACACTCATGGGGGCTCGGACCCGGATTTCTTTTTGTAATGCTGATTTCCTTGTAAAGCTGCTTTGTGACAACACCTGTTGTAAAAAGCGCTATATAAATAAACTTTACTTACTTACTTACCTACTTCCTTTAATTTTAATAGAACTTCATTCTGGATATTCATTTTATTAGAATTTCAATCTGGATATTCATTTTATCAGAACTTCATTGTGGATATTAATTTTGTTAGAGCATCATTGTGGATGTTAATTTTAATAGAACTTGATTCAGGACCTTTTTTATTAGAAATTGATTCTGGAAGTTAACTTTATTTGAACATCATTCTAGAAGTTACTTATGTTAGAAAGTCGTTCTAATAAAATTAATATCCAGAATGACTTTCTAATATAATTAACTTCTAGGACATCATTATTAGAACTTTTTTATTAGAAATTCATTCTGGAAGTTGATTTTATTAAAACATTGTTCTGGACATTAATTATATTAGAAAGTCATTCTGGATGTTCATTTTATAAGAACTTAATTCTGGAGGTTAATTTTGTTAGAACGTCATTCTGGATATTAGTTTTATTAGAATTTCATTCTGGACATGCACTTTATTAGAAAGTGATTTTAGATGTTATTTTTATTAGAATTTTATTTTGAATGTTAATTTTATAAGAAAGTGGTTCTAGATGTCATTTTTTTAGAACTTCTTTTTGGATGTTAATTTTATTAGAAAGTGATTCTGGATGTTACTTTTATTAGAACTTCATTCTGGAAATTAATTTTATTGTATCTTTATTGTGGATATTAATTTTATAAGAAAGTGGTTCTGGATGTTAATTTTTATTAGAAAGTGATTCTGAATGTTAGTTTTGTTAGAAATTCATTCTAGATCTTAATTCTAATAGAACCTCAAGCTGGATATAATTTTATGAGAACTTCATTCTGGACATTCATTTTATCAGAACTTTATTCTGGATATTGATTTTATTAGAATGTCATTCTGGACCTTTTTTATTAGAAATTCGTTCTGGAAGTTCATTTTATTGGAACATCTTTCTGGACGTTAATTATATTAGATCATCATTCTGGATATTAGTTTTATTAGAATTTCATTCTGGACATGAATTTTATTAGAAAAGAAAGTTAATAATTTTATTTCAAAAACGATTCTGAACGTTAATTTTATTAGAGCTTCATTCTGGATGTTAATTTTATTAGAAAGTGATTCTGGATGTAAATTTTATCAGAACTTCATTCTGGATATTAATTTTATCAAAACAATGGGATCTAACTGCTCACCATGTGACCATGAGGGACAGGGATGCAGCCTCACTTCCTTCTAAATTTTATTTTAAAACATATTAAAAACATCTTTAAAAACATTTAAACAAAAATCACAAAAGTAAAATGTTTATTCTGGATATTGATTTTTCAGAACTTTTTCTGAATATTCAGTTTCGTTAGAACTTTATTCTGGATATTAATTTTATTAGAATGTCATTATGTCTATTAATCTTATTAGAACTTAATTCTGGATACTAATTTTATTAGAACTTCACTTTGGATATTAATTTTATGAGAACTTCATTCTGGAAGGTATTAGAACGTCACTCGGGACGTTAATTTCATTGGAACTTCATCTTGGACATTATTTTATTAGAACTTCATTCTTGATAATGATTTTCTTAGAACTTCATTCTGGATGTCAGTTTTATTTTAATCTTATTCTGGATGTTAATTTTATTAGAACTTCATTCTGGATATTAATCCAGAATGTTTTATTAATTTTATTAGAACTTCATTCAGGATGTTAATTTTATTACAACATTAATTGATGTTGAATTAATGTCATGTTAATGTCCTGTATTTTGACCAGGGTAACCGCTGTACTGTAATAAACTCTGGCAAAGGCCAACTGATAAAACTGGGTACTAACTAAGTAACTTTGTCAACTTTGTCAGAAAATTACACAGTAGCTACAAGGATGAGTGAAGCTGGTGATCTGTGGAGCACTCAATAAAGACAATGGTCAAACTACAATGGTTCAGTACAGTTTGTTTAATTATCTACACATACATGACATGTTGAGTAATTAAGCCCATAATTCATATTCATATTAAACACTCTGGCAGGAAAAAGCAACCCTGCAGCTGTAGCCCAATATCCAGACCCTAAACTCACCCCTGGGCAGCTCCAGATCTGGACAGACAGAGATGCCATCAGCATATGCCATAAGTCAAATATGGAGGCTGAAAAAGTGACGCAGTTTAAAAATGATGCACTATTTGTGGATCTCATTCACGTCGACTGTCTGTACAAATCAGAGCCCACTGATCAGCTGGTAGAGAGATTCAGTCCCGTAACTCCACCCCTGCTTTAACCCCTGGGTTACCTTGTGTCCTGAAAAGACATTTGTATTGATGTTGTGGACTCTCTGTAGACCTGTAAGCTTCTGGAGTTTTACACAGCAGTGTTCTCTAAAACTAGGTGACAGAGTGATAGAAGTGGTCAGTAGATAGCAGCAGCGCCCTCTGCTGGCCAAAACAAGCACAGTGTGAGACGTCTGCCTGTCTGCTCTGCTGAAGGTCTTTCTTGGGACTTTCTGGAGAAAAACCGGAAGTGCCTAATAGGTCCCCTTTAATCTATTCATAATTGAGGGATCCGTGAAGGGTGTTGTGAGGCAAAATAGTCCCCAAGGTTAACTTTTTACTCAGAACTCAGAAGACTCATGTAGGTTCACTGGTGGTTTTGTATAGTAAATAAAATGGTTATATCTGTGTTGTAGTCATGGCGACCCCAGTAAAGAAATCTGACACCACTGTACACCACTGTAAAGAAACCTGAGTCTGTATGTTTCTCTACAATTAATCACTTCACATCAAAACACTCTGAATGACTCTGTTTACATCTCAAAGTCTAAATCGTTCAGAAAACTGGAAATTCCCCTTTAAATTACAGAAACACAAAGTACAGCAGAACTGATTACACGTTTCATTATTGTAGCAGGGATTTATCTGGTCAAAAAAGGTCTCAGAAAACTCTTATGATGATATCATTTGTCTGACCAAACACTGCTTGAAGTCGACGCCAATCCTTCAGAGCATTTCCGTAACCAGTGGGAGACTTTGTTTTTGGATATTTCTTTGTCATCGTCTGTTGGCTCAGACTGGGTCTCTGTGGAAAAAAAAGGAAAAGCACAGAAGTCAGTACACAGATATAAACTGAACAACTAGCTGTCAGTCACATTTCTATCATTTATCATCTAAAACTGCTCGTGGGGTCACGTGACCGATTTTCCAGAATGGCAGCTCGCGACTAGAGCTCTCGCATTCCTTTCCTCTTTTTGATTGATTTAGTCGGTTTTAATTTCACTACCCTGGTACCTTTTGTTGTGAAAGATTGTCTGAGATGTCGAACACAAAGGGGAGAGCGATTTCTTTGCTGGTGTCCTCTCCAATTAAGAAAAAATCAAAGCAGTTTGACTCATCCAGGATGGCTAAGATGGCGGATCTCTTGGCTGATTCCATGGAAAAATAAGCTAGCTTTCTCCAGTCGCTGTTGGAAGCGATGTGCGCGGACTTCAAGGTTCAGTTGTCTGCAATTCAAGATGACCTTTCAACACAGACGAAGTCAGTCCTCATGATGATTTCAAAAGTTGACAAAGTTTTGGCCAACAACGTGAGCAGAAGAAGATTCTCAGTTGCCATACAACTCAGCTGGAGTCTGTTGAAAGTAAGCTAGCTGAACTCGACGATCGCTCACGCTGTAATAACGTGCGGCTGGTAGGACTCCCGGACGGCTTCGAAGGTGACGACCCCGTTGGCTACATCCAAAAGGCGATCAAAGAGTGGTTCCCTTCCCTTGCTGATAAAGAAATGGAGATTGAGAGAGCCCACCGAATCTACAAGAAATCATCGGATGGTCAGAATTCGCCGCGGGTGCTCATCTTCAAATTTCTGCGGTATCAGGATAGGCAATGGCTGCTGAAGGCTTACAGCGAGCGCAGTCCTGTTGTGTGTTCAGGCTCCAGGCTACGTTTCTTTGTTGACTACAGCGCTGCCACTATTAAGAAGTCAAGTCAAGTCAAGTCAGCTTTATTGTCAATACTACAATATGTACAGGACATACAGAGTATTGAAATTGCATTACTCTCAGACCCCATGGTGTAGTGATAATATTAAATAGAAAGTAAACAGGAAAAGTGTGTATTTAAATAGACATTAAAAAAACACTAAACACTAATCGTAAAATAAACACTAATTGTAGAAAAATAGAATAATAAAAAATAAATAAATATAGAAGGTCCTGAAACTAACACTAAAGTGGCACTTACAGATTAAGGTCAGTGGGTATAAATAGTGCAAATATAAACAGTAGTGCAATTAGAATGAGCTTATGGAGCTGTTAAAGTGATGGGTGCGTAACAGTCTCTGAGAATGTCAGAGTTCAGTATTGGGGAGCGGGGGTCAGGAACCTGTGTTTGACCAATGCTGTCAGAGTTCAGTATTGGGGAGTGGGGGTCAGGAACCTGTGTTGGGGTCCAAACTCTGTGTGTGTGGGGGGCAGAAGCAAAGTAGGGAGAGAGTTCAGCATCCTGACAGCCTGGTGGATGAAGCTGTCCCCCGGTCTGCTGGTCCTGGCCCGGAGACTCCGCAGTCTCCTCCCTGATAGCAGCAGGCTGAAGAAGCTGTGTAGTGGGTGAGTGGGGTCACCTGCCATGCAGAGGGCTTTCCGGGCGAGACGGGAGCTGTATATCTCTTGGAGGGAGGGGAGGGAGGTGCCAACGATCTTCTCAGCTGCTCTCACGATGCGCTGGAGTGTCTTGCGGCAGGACACGGTGCAGGCGCCATACCACACGGTGATGCAGTTGGTCAGGATGCTCTCGATGGTGCCTCTGTAGAAGATGCACATGATGGGGGCTGGGGCTCTGGCTCTTCTCAGTTTGTGGAGTAGGTAGAGGCGCTGATGAGCCCTTCTGGCCAGTGATGCTGTTTTGTTGGCCCGGGAGAGGTCCTCTGTGACGTGCACGCCCAGGAACTTGGTGCTGTTCACCCTCTCCACAGCAGCACCGTTGATGGTCAGAGGAGCATGCTGGGTGCACGTTTTCCTGAAGTCCACAACGATCTCCTTCGTCTTCTCAATGTTCAGATGGAGATTGTTGTGTCTACACCACAAGGCCAGGTGACTCACCTCGCTCTTGTAGTTTATTTCATTGTTGTTGCTGACGAGACCCACCAGTCGTGTCGTCCGCAAACTTGATGAAGAGGTTGGAGCTGTGCAACGGTGTGCAGTCGTGGGACATCAGAGTGAATAGGAGGGGGCTCAGTACACATCCTTGGGGGGGCCCTTGTGTTCAGTGTGATGGTGCGGGATGTGTTGTTGCCGGCCCGTACTGCCTGTGGTCTCCCAGTCAGGAAGTCTAACAGCCAGTTGCGCAGTGAAGTGTTCAGCCCCAGTCTGTCCAGTTTGAGAATGAGCTGCTGGGGGGTGATGGTATTAAATGCGGAGCTGAAATCTATGAAAAGCATCTGACATAAAAGTCTTTTTTGTCCAGATGTGTGAGGGAGTGGAGGGCGGTGGAGATGGCATCATCAACAGAGCGATTAGGCCGATATGCAAACTGGAAGGGGTCCAGGGAGGGGGGAAGGACAGACTTGATGTGTTGCATGACCAACCGTTCAAAGCACTTCATGAGAATGAGGATTGAGTGCAACTGAATGGTAGTCATTAAAACAAGAGGGTGATGCTTTCTTCGGTACAGGGATGATGGTGGTGGCTTTCAGGCATGCGGGGACGACAGTCTGACTCAGCGAGATGTTAAAGATATCTGTAAACATATCTGTGAGCTCCCCAGCACAGTCCCTCAGCACACGACCGGGTATGTTGTCAGGACCAGGAGCTTTCCGAACATTGACCCTGCTGAATGATCTCCTCACACTGACTGGGCACAGCATCAGCACCTGGTCTCCAGGAGGGGGTGGGATCCTCTTGCCTCTGCAGGCATGTTGTTGTCTGTCTCAAACCGGGCGAAGAAGTTGTTAAGCTCATTCAGCAGAGAGGTGGAGCTGTCACAGGTCTGCGGTGGGGGCTTGTAGTCTGTGATGGTCTGTATCCCCCGCCACAGGCTCCGTGTATCTCTGTTGTCGCCGAAGCTATGGGCTATCCTCCTGGAGTACTGCCTCTTTGCCTTTCTGATGCCGCGGGACAGGTTGGTCCTAGCTGCCCTCAGCCCCACCTCGTCTCCTGCTGAGAAGGCAGCATTTCTAGCCTTCAATAGCCTGTATACCTCCCCTGTCAGCCATGGCTTCTGATTGGCCCGAACCGTGATGGTCTTGAGAACAGTTACATTCTCAATGCACTTGGAAATGTAACCAGTGACTGTGTCAGTATACTCCTGGAGATCTGTGGTGTTGTTGTAGGTCGCCGCTTGTTTAAACACATTCCAGTCTTGAAATGTCTCTGAAGACCTTCCGGCCACACTCGTACCTGTTTCTGAACTGGTTTGGTGACTTTAACCAGTGGTTTGTATGCTGGCATTAGCACAACAATGACGTGGTCAGAGGTGCCAAGGTGGGGGAGGGGAATGGCTTTGTAAGCTTCTTTCTGGGTGGTGTAAACATGGTCCAGTGTGTTTTTCCCTGTGTTGGAAAGTTTATGTGTTGATATATTTTTGAAAACACACTCTTTGGGTCTGCATGATTGAAATCTCCAGCCAAGATGAGAAAAGCATCAGGGTGGGCTGTCTGCTGCTCACTGATGTGTCGATACAGCTCATTCAGTGCCTCACTCCTATTGTTGTTATTGGAGCTCGGAGAAATATAAACAGCGATGATTATAACGGCAGTAAATTCCCTCGGGATGTAGAATGGCCTGCACTTAATAGCCATAAACTCCACTAACGGTGAGCAGTGTTTGCAGACCACAGCAGCGTCGCGACACCAGGCATCACTGATGTAAACACAAAGCTCCCCGCCGCTGGTCTTACCTCCTTTGACGAGAGCTCTGTCTGCTCGATAGCATGTTAGCTGCTCGAGCTGAATGGCGTGGTCCGGTACGTTGTTACTGAGCCATGTTTCCATGAACACAAACACACAACAGTCTCTCACAGACTGTTGGGTTGTGCGTAGCAGGCGTATGTAGTCCAGTTTGTTGTCCAGTGAGCATACGTTGGCCAGTATCATGGTGGGGATGGCCGGCTTGTGTGGGCTAGCTGTTAGCCTAGCTCGGATACCTCCGCGCTTACCCCTCTTCTGCTTCCGCTCATGCCACTTGCAGCGCCTCCACACTGGGCGAGATGCAGGAGTGGAGGGCGGTGTTGGTGCCGGACTCCTAAGCAAACCGCAGACTTGTAGCTTTTCTTTGTGCTGCGAGTTTAATTCTAAAAATGAGGTTCTGCCAATGTCGAGCAGGAACTCACGGCTGTATGTGCGCTTCAAGACAGGTAAATGCGATGAAGACATACAAAAACCCTGCGACTCGCAGGACAAAAAACACGAAAACACAATTTCATCGGGAGAGAGAAGCCACAGCGTGTGCACGCGCCGCCATCTTGGGAAGAGGATGGCTTTTCTTTCAGTTCAGAAAACATTGAAAGCAGCTGATATAGAGAACTTTCTGCTATATCCGGCTCTGCTAAAAGTCAACGTGTCAGGTACTGCGCATCATTTCTCCTCGCCTTCGGAAGCAGAGGGTCTGCTCTCCTCTTTAGCCAAGCTGAATGAGAACACCATGGAAGCATAGATTCAGTGTTGATTGCTTGCTTACTTTAAACTTTCCTGCATGCATAAGTCAAACTCTGTTGACATTATGGTATCTAAAGTAAGCTTAACTAGTATCATCAATGTTCAAGTGGGTAGGAATTTCGGTGTTATTGAGGGAATGGTGCGATATCGTAGCTGCTGTATGCACACGTGTCACGGTTCAACTATGGGAAGGGGATGAAGCAGAGAATGAGAGCATCATTATGCTCTTTCTCTTTTCAGTGGGGATTGTTCAAGTTATTTACGGTTCGGGGAAAAAGGGAACATGACACCCTAATACTCTTTATTTTTTCCAGTCTGATATGGTCTTTGTAACTCAAATGATTTGTTTTGGTTTTCTGGTGGTTTTCTGCTTTCAGGTTTCATTTGCTAAATTGTGGTCAATCTATTTTTCTTTTTTATAAGACAATGGTCGATTTGTCAGTCTTGTCTTGGAATGTCTGGGGTTTAAACTCTCCTTCCAAAAGGACCAGCTGTCTTGACATACTTCATAGGAAAAAAATATATATCGCATTACTTCAGGAGTCTCATCTTTTATCACAAAACGTGCCCAGAATGGCCAATAAGCATTTTTATGTGGCAGCTTTTTCTGCAGCCGAGAGTAAAACTAATGGTACTTTAATTCTTTTGCGTAGGACGTTGAGTATAACAATACTTAATACCGGCTCAGACATATCTGGATGAATTGCACATCTTGATGCAAATGTCATGGGGAAAAAAATCACATTTGTATCAGTGTACGCTCCCTCTACCTTTGATCCAGAATTTTTTCATTTTTTGACAAAATATCTGTTAAAATTTGAATATCCTTTGATTATAGGCGCTGACATGAATGCGGTTTTTAATAATTTATTAGACCGCTCCAAAAATGGCCAAAATGATATTCAATCTAGATCTTCTTTGGCAGTGAACAAGGTTGCCTCTGACCTCGCTCTTCTAGACCTTTGGCGTGTCTTCAACCCCTCCTCAAGAGAATATACTTGTTATTCAGCGAGACATCATCCGGAATCATCCCTTCATCACTCTCTGATCACCACCCAAATATTTCTAATTTAATCTTACACAACTTGTCTCAACATGCTCTCAGATGGCGGTTTAACACTACATTGCTGCAGAATGAAAATTTTATTGCTGAATTTAGCTCTGGTCTTAAAGATTTTGTGGCTATCAATTATGGCTCAGTTACAGATCTACGAATTTTGTGGCAAGCAATTAAGGGATACATTAGGGGGAAATCCACTCTTTTTGCCTCACAACTAAACAAAACTAAACTAAAGGAAATTACAGTCCTAGAAAACAAAGTTGCCTCTCTTGTTCATTCACTATAGACATCCTTTAATGAAACTGTTGCAGCTGAGCTTGAATTAGCTAAAGGGGAGCTTAATTCTCTGCTTAGAAAGCGTTCTGAATTTCTCATGCATAGAGTTAGACAATATTATTATTTTCATAGTAGTCGCCCTAGCCATTTGTTGGCCCTTAAATTACACAATAGTGAGCATTTTTCTGACATCCCTGTTATAAAATCACCCCAAGGTACCCGGCCCAGATTAATTCTATATTTCAGCAGTTTTATGCAGAGTTATACCAATCTGAATCACAAATGGAATATAATGATCACATGAGTTATCTGAGGACTCTAAATTTACCATCTAAAGAAGAAGCAGATATGCTTGGCCAGGCAGTAACATTAAATGAACTCAAAAAAGCTCTACAAGCAATGAAGAAAGGGAAGCTCCAGGCATGGATGGTATACCCCCAGAATTTTATTTGACATTCTTTTCCCAACTAGGTCCACCCCTGTTAGACATGATAAATAATGCAATATAAACAGGTTCTTTCCAGAGGGATGCGAATACAGCAATCATTTCTCTTCTTCTTAAACCACAAAAAGACCCAACCTCCTGCAGCAGTTATCGGCCCCTGTCTTTGATTGGATCAGATGTTAAATAATTTGCTAAAGTCTTTGCAACATGCCTTGAAACATATATGACTAAATTCGTTCACCATGATCAGACAGCGTTCATTAAAAAACGACTTGCCTCTGACAATGTTCGTTGGCTGCTTCATGTCCTTGATTGTGCACCTGATATACTTACTCCATGTGCTGCTGTTTCTTTAGATGCAGAGAAAGCATTTGACAGACTCGACTGGGGCTTTTTATGGGCTGTATTGGACATAATGGGACTGGGTCTTAATTTCATTAAACTGGTTAAAACTCTATATGCCAACCCTTCAGCTATGGTAATAACAGGTAACAAATGCTCATCTCCATTTTTAGTTTCTTGTGGATCTAGACAAGGCTGTCCTCTCTCTCCTCTCTTATTTGCTCTGTCACTTGAGCCCCTGGCCCAAGCGATTCGGCTTTCCCACTTTACTCTCCAATCACCATTAATAATACTCATCACTACATTTCTTTATATGCTGACAACATTTTGCTTATGATTAATAATGTACCTGAAACACTTCCACGTGTGCTCTTCATTCTGGATATGTTTTGCAGTTAATCTGGCTATAAGGTCAATAAGACAAAGTCTGCACTATCCCTGTAGTACATCACTTTAGGAACCTAGGGATTGAAATTCATCCATCCCTTCAATTAACAGTTAAGAAAAATTTTAACCAGATATTTACTAAAATCTGTGATGATATGAGAAACTGGAGTCATTTACTTAATACCCTACAAAACCGTACATCAGTAGTGAAAATTAATATTCTTCCTAGAGTTAATTTTATACGTTCTATGATTCTCTTACCTCCTCCTGTAGGTTTATGGGACAAACTTCACTACAGTATTTCAGCTAATATATGGAAAGGCAAGAAACCTCGAATTAAACTCGCTACTCTTCAGCGTAATAAAACAGATGGAGGACTTTCTCTTCCTAATTTCAAATTATATTATTATTCCTTTGTTCTTCGTCCGTTGTCAGTTTGGCTCAATTCAGATACTCAAACATCTTGGCGGCCTCTTGAGGAAAGTTTGGTTGCTCCACACAGATTACAAGATCTCATCTACTCGAATATTCCCATAAAGCAATGTAAACTGAGACATGGTCCTCTAATTAGTAATTTACTTTTGACATGGCGGGTTGTAGAAAAACTAACCAAAACCATAACGGTTTGGCACAAATGCTCCTTACTGCCAATAAGCCTTTTTTCTTTTCTCAATGGCAACAAAAGGGCATACATATTCTAGATGACATCTTTAATGATTCGGGACTTTGGACATTCCAAGACTTGCTTGCATTTTACAGTATACCGGTATACAGGTTTTTTCATTTTTTTCTCTATCTTCGCCTTCGCTCTGCCATGAAGGCTTATGGTGTTCCTTGGGGCTGCACTTTACCCTTACACCCATTGCGTAAACTGTTTGTTTCTATCAAGTGTTTGGGTATCCGAAGTTTATCTTATAATACTACGTGCTGTATATAAACCTTTAGGTCTACAAACTATATGGGAAAAAGAGCTAAAAAGTGGCTAGGGTCAAATCAATTGGCATCCTATATGGAATAACATCACATCAGCCTAACCATCAGCTTATTCATTATAATTTTATCCACAGATCCTATTTAACCCCCTGCAGACGCTACCATATGCATCTTACTCCATCTCCTCTTGGTAATTTTTGTTCTGATGGTTCATACGGTACATTTTTACATATGTACTGGGAGTGTTTAAATGTGCGTAAGTTTTGGACTAAGGTTTCTTTTACATTATCAGACATTCTCAATAAAACCATTCCAAGTACAGTCCAAACTTTGCTTTTGATTGACAACTCTGAATGTAATTTAAATTGTGCTGAAAAGCGAATCTGGCTGGCTGGTCTCACAGCTGCAAAAAAAAATGTTAGCCTTGCGCTGGCAACCTCCACATTCTCTGTGCTGGCGGCAATGGATCCTCACCTTTGTAGATATTATTAATATGGAACTTTCAACTGCATGGATCCATGGAGCTAGCTACTCCAGCATTGGCTACTAAGTCTCTCTCCATAGCAGCGGTGATGCTTCAATGTCAGTAAATTGTTAGCTTTATCAGCTGTTCCTCTGTAAAGTCTCTGTTCTAGTATGGTTCTGCGCTCTTCCTCACAGTAACTGAGATCTTCCTCGTCTCCTCTTCTGTCTTCAGTGTGAGAAATGAGGAACAGTCACTCTTCACTCCAAACTCTTTGGAAACTGGGCGAGTTTTCAGATTTACAGATCTGCTGCAGCTCATTGTAAAGTATTTTAGAGGAATCCGGGCAGAGTTACAGTTTCTAGGCTATGAAGGACCAACTGGGTGAACCAGTCTGCTACAGCGCCACCCTGAGGCAAAGCAGTGCTGCATATTAAAGACAGAATCTCAGAGCTTTGGGGTGAAAAAGGCTAAACATGTAAAAAAGGGATTTCCCTGAATTTGTATTTGAGTGTCTATTTTTCCCTAAAGGACAGCATAACATCCTAAGTTCATTTCAGGGACCCCCAGAATTTTGATTTTGAGACGTACAAGGGGTCCAACAGGGTAATTAGGTGGTCCCCAGTATTTCATACGTTGAATAAACTACTTAATTTAGTAATTTACAGTTGAAGATTTGTTGCTCACCCCATCCCTGATCGCTCAACATTTCCAGAAATCTCCCCATCACTGCCTCTTCTCGTCTGCTCCACTCCCGATCAAGCATCTCTTTAATCTGACTCCTGAGTGTCAGGGTGCTTTTAGGCTCTTCCTGAACTGTTCCTACATCTGAATACAGACACAGAGACTTCATTTTCTTGTAAAATGTAAAACAGATTTGAATACAACACAATTCTGAAAATTCTTTGACAAGGTAATTAGCAAAGGTTCACAATACAGCAAAGAGCTAGACTGATTTACTCACTGCAGAACTCCACCTCTGTTTGAGACACTTCCTCATCAGCGTTGTCGTCTGTCTCAATGTTTGAATTCATCTCACTCACTGCAAATAATACGTAGTGTTATTTCTGTTGTAAGTAATTAAAAACAGAACAACTGGCTGACAGTCCCATTTCTATCATCTAACTACCATCTAAAACTGCTTATGGTCAAATCCACAGCTTAAGAGCTCATTACATTATTGTGTTTAGTAATTTACTGGTGAAGACCTGTTGCTCACCACGTTTGAGCTCGCTTAACATTTCCAGAAATCTTCCCATCACTGCCTCTTCTCGTCTGCTCCACTCCCGATCAAGCATCTCTTTAATGTGATCCTTGAGTTTCAGGGTGCTTTTAGCCTCATCCTGAACTGTTCCTACATCTGAATGCAGACACAGAGACACAGTGACATCTGTGTTGTGCTGTGATTTTCTTATATAACATAAAACAGACCTGAATACAGTACAGTTCAGAAAATTCTTGGACAATGCAATTGGTGAAACTTCACAATACGGCAAACAGGAAGACTGATTTACTCACTGCGAGACTCCGGCTCTGTTTGAGACACTTTCTCATCACTGTGATCCTTTGTGTCAGTGTTTAATCTCTTCTCACTCACTGTAGAAAATATGTAGTGTTATTTCTATTATAACAGGTTAAAAACAGCTGAAGGCTCATGTAAGTATTATAAAAAGACTCACGCTCAAGAGGGAAATCCATACTTTTATCTCCTTTTCTTTTTACATGGGGGAATGTAGCCCTTATGGCCTTCTTGACATCTGAAACCCTTTTCAGAAGCTCCTTGTCTCTTCTTCTCCATTCCTCATCCACGAATCGGACAATATCCTGTAAGTCATGCTCATCAGTAGACTTTGTTTGTGCGTCTTCTTCTTGCTTTGCATGAATTCCACCAAACGTCTCAGTAATCAGTTGGAATGAACTGTTTTGAGCCATCATGTGATCAATCTTCTCGAGCAGTTCTGTAACCTGAACACGATTCTCTCCATCCTCATTGTTGAAGACGTGATATCTGTTCTCACATTTCTCGACCACCCACTGCAGAGCTTCACCTTCACTCTCAATGTGCTGCTCTATGTTCACGTCTCCAAGTATGTCACCCCATGTGAAAAGTACAATGGTGTGTCGCCACACCTGCTCTCCAAGTAAGCTCATATTCTCTTCAATGACCTTTCTCTGTTCCTCTTGGAACGATGTGTCTCCAGGAATCACTAGAAGTATGCAGTGTGGGGGGGTGACAGTCTGACCTACACCATTTAAAATTCCAGACTTTATCCATGCTGGAGTGTACTGAGCAGGAAAGTACTTAAACCAGCTGGGTGTATCGAGCACAGTTACTGGTCTTCCATCCACTTCCCCATGTCCACTTTGACATTTAAGAGTACTTTGATCAGTAACAAACACTTTTTTGTTCAAGATGGTATTCCCAGCTGAACTCTTCCCAGCAATCACCCAACCAAGCAATGCGATTCTCAGCTCTGAGGAAAAAAGTACGTTTTACAGAGAACAATAAAATATAACTCAGGAACAGAAATAGGAAGTCAGCTACATAACAGTTCCATTCTTGATAATGATGGCCTTCCTAGATCAGGGCCTTGGCATGGCGGAAGGTTTTGTGTGGACTAGGGATTTTCAGAGTTATGTCATCTGGAGCAGTATGTTCCTAATAGGGTCTACAAGGCGAACATGTATGGAGTCAAGATCCAGACTAACATGATCCTAAATCCCCTATGAATAATATATTATATATAATATATATATATATATATATATAATATATATATATATATATATATTGTGAACCTTGCACGGTGGAGGGTTACCGGGACCTACCCCATGAGCCAGGCCTGGGGTGGTGTTCCTCTGTGAGTTCCTGGTGGCTGGGCAGCCCATGTAACCCTGGGCTCAGCCAGAAAAGGCAAAGTAGGGGGACCATGTGGGCCCACCACCCACAGTTCAGCACAGGGGACTGGTGTAGTGCCTTCCAGACAGAGGGAAATGGCAGGGAGGTCCTAGGTGGCATGGACTCCTGCAGTGGAAACTGGCTCTTGGCACATAGAATGTAACCTCACTGGGGGGGAAGGAGTCAGAGCTTGTGTGGGAGGTTGAGAGTTACCAACTAAACATAGTTGGACTCACCTCCATTCACAGTGTTGGCCCTGGAACTCCTTGATAGGTTGTTCCCTTTCTTACTTGGGAGTACACAGGGTGAGTGGCACTGGCTGAGCATGGGTATATGCACAAGCCCCCAGCTGGCTGCCATGTAGTTAGTTTGTCTCAGTGGACGAGAGGGTCTCCTCAATGTGAATTATGCTCAAACAACAGTTTTGTTTATTCGGTCTTCTTTTAGCAAGTGGGTGGGGCTCTGAAAAGGGCCCCATCTACAGAATTCATAGTCATGCTGGGAGACTTCAATGCTCACATTGGCAATGACTGGGAAACGGAGTGATTGGGATGAATGGCCTGCCTGATCTAAACTAGAATGGTGAATTGTTATTAGCTTTCTGTGCTAGTCATGGATTGAGCACCATGACTGAACACAAGGATGTTTATAAGTGTATTTGGTACCAGAGCTCCTTGGGTCAAAGGTCAGTGATCAACTTTTTCATTGTTTCATCTGACCTGAGACCATTCTGGACACTCGGGAGAAGAGAGGTGCTAAGCTGCCAACTGATCGCCATCTGAGTTGGATCAGATGGCAGGGAAGACTGGTGGTCTGTTTGTGATATTCATGGACAGGATGTCAAGGCATAACTGAGGTGAGGAGGGTATTATGCGTAGAGGCCGGAAGGTTGGCTCCATCACATGGATGCCTCCAGCGCTCACTGGAGTGTTAAATAGTTGGTATGCAGATCAACATCTCTAAGTCTGAGTCCATGGTCCTCACCCAGAAAAGAACGGCATGACCTCTCCAGGTAAGGGCAGAGGACCTGCCCCAGGTGTCTTCTTCACGGTCTTGTTCACAAGTGATCTGAAGAGGGATGGTGAGATCAACCTATGGTCATCAGCTTTGGTTAATTACCGAAAAAATGAGATTGCGGCGGAAATGAGCTTTCCTCACAGGGTAGTGGGCAATGGTCTACTTGATATGGTGAGAAGCTCAGTCATCCGGGAGGAGCTCAAAGTAGAGACCCTACTCCTCTACACTGAGAGGAGCCAATTGAGGTGGTTCAGGCATCTAATTAGGACGCCCCCCTGGCTGCCTCACGTTGGAGGTTTACCAGGCATGGCCACCTTTTGTAGATTTGTATATATGCAGATGTACTTATTATACTGACGTATTTACTTTGATCCATATCGATTGTAGCTTGAGGATCATGTGAGAGCCATTGAGTATTTTAGGTTACACCTGTATGCACTAGTTGTAAATAGCATTGAGGATGGCATGAGCCAAAATATCAGTAATGTAAAAAGATTCAAGCAGTTATAATCTCTTGCTTATATTATATCGAGACATTTTGAACAATTTGTTGTTCAAAATTTTGAACAATTGTTTTTCCTGTTGGCTGTTTCTTACATCATCAGCTCAAGTTCTTGTTTGCTAAAATGTTTTAAATATTTTGTTTTATGTTTGTCCACCATTTTGCTGTCTTAAATAACAGAAAAAAATACATCTCAACAAGCTCAAAAATGTATCATGCGTCATTTATGGTAAATGCAAATATAAAATGCAACGCAGCCTATGCAAAAAACAATGAAGATTATCTTATATTAAGAAAATAATTAGGATCATCCTGAGAGAATATTTAAGAACTTAAATTGTTTCAGCAACAAAGAAAGCAACAATAATAGATTTTCAGGAACAAGCCGAAAAAAGGACAGTTACACAAAAAATACCTCGTCCCCACTGTTAAGTACGGTGGAGGATCTGTGACATTTTGGGACTGTAAACTACCAGGCAATTTTAAATGAAAATCTGCCAGCGCCAAAACTGGACTGTGGCTAAATCTTCCAGCAGGGCAATAATTCACAATATATATATAAACTGAAGCTGAAAGTGAGAGTCCAAACGAGAGGACAAGGACTCGGGAGAATCTGGAGAGAAAATCTGTATAGGGGAGTGATCTCAGCTCTTTATTCTCCAATCTGATCAAGCATTACAGCAGAATACAGTTATGTTGGCAAATGGACGTTGTACAAATTTCTATTTAAGTATTAACTTGAAGATCTATGACTAAATTTAGTTTAATTAAAGGTTTGATTTTTTTAACATTTTTTTAGTGTGAGATTGAGCTAATCAACCATGATGTTGTAACTTACCCTCTTTGTCAAGTCGTTCTTGTCGTTTTAACTCTCTGGACTTTGCTCTGGTCATCACAGTCCTCTTCCACTCTGCAGTCTCCTCCAGTATCTTTGCCTCAATTTGGAAATGAGCACCATCATTTATTCGCACTGTATCCTCAATCTTTTCCAGCAGCTGCGTCACCTGAGATGTATTATCTGAGACTGTACTGTCAAAGACATGATATCTGTTCCCACATTTCTCTATCAGCCACTTTAGAGCTTCTCCCTCTTTTTCAATGTGCTGTTCTATAGTTCTTTTCCCCAGAGCGCGGCTTCTAGTGAACAGCACAAGAGTGTGTGTCCAGATCTGGTCACCAAGGAGTGCAAGGTGATCCACTGCAGCTTTCCTGTGCTTCTCTGTGAATGGAATGTCAATCTCGATGACCAGCAGGATTGCGTGGGGTCCTGGATGGCACAAAGAAACTCCTTGAATGAGCTCCTTTTTCAGAAAGTTTGCAGTGTCGCTCAGTGGAAAATGCTTCCACCAGCCTGGAGTGTCAACCAGCGTCAGATCTCTTCCACACACATTTCCCTGTAGCTTCTTGCACTGGGCAGTCCTCTTCTGATTCGGCAGGAAGCCTTCTCCAAACACGGCATTGATCAGTGTGGTCTTCCCAGCAAACTTCCCCCCAAACACCACAGCTCTGAGCTCTACAAAGCAGAGAACAACAGACAGACAGTCAGAGGTATAAACAGACTCGTTATAGGAAGGAAGAGTATTTGTATGAGACGTAACATGTCTGTGTCTAACATATGCCATGGATTCCCTGAACTATTAATGCTACCTGAAACAGTAATATCCTACAGCAGAAAACCAAAAATGATAAAATATCCAAAGCTGCACATTTCAAAGTTCTAGATCACATGCCCAAACCAGTTCTCTTTTTGAGAATATGTTTCCTGGCTTCAATCTCAGTGATTCAACATTAACAATGGTTAATTTGGAAAGCTTTATTACCACCTGCTAAATGTAGTTTACATTTCAAATGTGTTATGATTATCCCAGAATCGTCAAGGTGTAAGAATATGATAACCTTTTTATACCATACCATGTTTGATAACACTCCTGTAGAAACATAGGGTATACAGACATCTGTTATGGATCACTGAATCGGTATACACTTATAATACATCTCAAAAACCAATTACCTATAATCAACCAGGTAACTTCTCTGGTATGGCTTCCAGCTATGTGTTGAATAGTTTCTGGAGACAGCTTGCCAGCAAGCTAACTTAGCAAACTTTGCTATCCTCAAGCGAACAAAGTACTAAAAGTCTGACACCACTCACTGTACTTCAGCTGAGGAAAGCACATATCATCTGACACTGTGTTGAGCAAGATTACAGTAGGTTACAATGAGTGAGGTCACAAAATATACTTTGAAGAACACTGTGTAGTCCAATCTGCTCCCACATTAAAATGAAGAAAAATCTGATCATTCAGTCATTTTTATAATAAGCAAAGTTGTTTGCGGTGGCTAGTGGAGGAGCCAAGGCATGGCAGGGTGGCCTTTTTCTCCCATAGGGGGAGCTGCCACCTCTGGAGGAGGTGAACGTGCAGTGGCAAAGCCAGTTAGTGTATCTCCGGGGGTGGGGTGCACTGTCAGAGCGAGGGAACCATGGCTTACAGTTAGCTGAGGGGTTCCACTGAGCCCAGGAGGAGGAGAGCTCTCTTGGGCACGTGGATGACTCTAGGTAGGACAGAAATGGGGTTAGGCAGTAGTGACTGCTAAGATGCTTTGTGCTGGCTGGGATTCATGACTAGATGTTTTGCTGTGTGTGGGAGGAGCCTGTGCCTGGGAAGCCTAAGGAAGAGAGTGTTGGGCACTGTGCATGGAGCAGCTGGCATTGGACCCTTTGGAGTGGGCAAGACGCTGAAGCAGTTGCAGCAGAGTTTCTACTGGCTGAACCTAACCCTAACCCAAGGACACAGGCCTGAGAGAGGACTGGGGTGCCTGGGGGTGCACTTGTGCTGGACAGGCCAGGACTCTAGGGAACTAGCCAACCCTGGGCCATGGGCCATACTGCCATGGGGAGGGGGTTTGGCCATGCAAAGTGCCTCTCAGGAAGCAACTAATGTTGAAATGTATGAGTCGTAATATGTGTTATGATTTGGTTATTTTTTATCGTGTTCTTTTGTGTGTATTTACTAATTAGTGTGTTCACTGATTTTATGTTGTGTTTGTGTTTTGGTGCCCTTGCCCCTCTTTTCCCTGTGGTTCCCATCTGTTTCAGTAAAGAGTTCCTTTAAGAGAAAATGGCAGACTCTGATCTTCTTCTGTGCCAACACTACAATCCTACAGTCATGTTCATTTGGACACAGTTGCCAGGTTTAGTAGGGGGCAGGGCACAATCTAAGGTGGGGTAAAATATGGTTAAGCAGGTTTGAGTAGGATGTGTTTTTTTCCTTTTTTCCTCATAGCAACATTCTGATTACTATCTGACAGACAGTTTTTAAGAGTGATCTTGAAGTTTACTGATTCTTCATTGTGTTTCTGATTTGTCTGAAGTAACATTTTCCCTTCATGCTCCTGGTGGAAATTTACAAGTAGAGAAACCCTTTTCATTCTCTGATTTGTAGTGGTACAAATGGGAAGATATGTTGGCTGGGCATGGAAAGATCTGGGGCTCAGCACAGTGAAGCTATGGCCCACCCATTTGGGGTTATGCCCCTCTCATTTGAAGCTATGGTCCACCCATTTGGAGTTACACCCCACCCATTTGAAACCATGGTCCACCCATTTTGCGTTTTGCTCCTCCCTTTTGATGCTATGATTCACCCATTTGGGGTTTTGCTCCTCCCATTTGAAGCTATGGTCCACCCCTTTGCGTTTCGTAACTCGCATTTGAAGCTATGGTCCACCGATTTGGAGTTACGCCCCTCCCATTTAAAGCTACGGTTCATCCAGTTGGAGTTGTGCCCCTCCCTTTTAAAGCCATGGTCCACCCTTCTGGAGTTACGCCCCTCTCATCTGGAGTGTTGCCCCTCCCTTTTGTTGTGTTTTGTTTATTGGTGCCCTTACCCCTTTTTTCCCTGTGGTTCCCATCTGTTTCAGTAAAAAGTTCCTTTAAGAGAAAATGGCAGACTTGGTTCTTCTTCTGTGCCAACACTACAGTCTTATAGTCATATTCATTTGTACACAGTTGCCAGGTTTAGTAGGGGACAGGGCACAATCTAAGGTGGAGTAAAATGTGGTTAAGCAGGTTTGAGTACAATGTGTTTTTTCCTCAGAGCATCATTCTGATTATTATCTAACAGACATTTTTCAAGAGTCACCTTGAAGTTCTCTGATTCTTCATTGTGTCTCTGATTCTTCATTGTGTTTCTGACGGCTGGTTTGTGTGTAAAAGTTATTTTGATTCACACTTATTTTAGTCACTCTCTCAAAAGCTGTAATAGAACACCAGCCAGACTGAAGTCCAGCCTCCGTTTACAGAGTTACGGCTGACAGAACTGAACTGAATTCCTTACATCATATTTAAACATTAATCTGTATCAGAGATCTGAGAGCTGCTCCTGTAAAAAGTGATTGATCTTGTTTGAACATTTGAATGTGTTGTGAATGTCCTGCCTGTTACACTAACTGTCTGTTTCATCAGGTACCTCTAGGTCAGGGGTCACAACCCAAATGTTAAGAAGAGCCATTTTGTCCTTTCAACACAAATCAATCCACCTTGGGAGCCTCAACACTTCATGTCTATTTTACTGAACAATTTCCCATCATGCACCTGGTGGAGATTTACAAGCAGAGAAACCCTTTTCCTGCTCCGCTCTGCGGTGGGACAGATTTGGAGATATGCTGGCTGGGTGTGTGAAGATCTGAGGCTCAGAGCGGTTCACTGTAGAACTGAATATTCTGGCAGATCATCAAACAGAATTTCTTTAATATACCTGTAAAATGTGCAGTTACTGTTTACATTAATGCAAAGATTCATACATTAATAAAACACGCAGTGATTCAGCACTGCTGACTGAACTACATCATAAAAACTCATACATTAAGAAGTCACCATAACAGAGAGAGAAAAAGGAAAGAACATCTACAGTTCTTCAGTAAAGCTGTTCTTACAGTCCTGCACATCTCCTCACATCACTGTTACACACTGACATATTAAACCAGCCAGTTTACATTTAGATTAATATGATTATTATTTTAAAACGGAGCAGATTTGACTTTTTACAGATATTTCAGGCTCTCACTCATACTCTCTCTCTCTCTCTCTCTCTGTTTCCGTCTCTCTTTGTGTGAACGGTTCTTTCAATCAAACTGATTTTCTGAGTTGAATAAAACTGGTTAATTTACTTGTTACCACATGAAGTCATTTTTAGGTTGATCTGATGAGCCATTTTTTACAGTGTAACACTGAACCACCCTGGTGACGCAGTTCTAATAAGACTCTGCTGATTTTATTCCGCACCGGAAACTGAACGGTGGGATCTTAGACCTTTACTCACCCATCAGGAGACGGACTGAGTCTGCTCCGCTCTCAGATCTCCGCTCTCTCCTCAGATCCCCGAACTCAGGGTTAGTTTTATGGTCTATTTCGGACTCTTTCTGCTCCCGGACTCCTCAGAGGTCAGGAGAGGACGCTGAAATCACCAAGTGTCTGCAGTTCACTGTTACTTTCGATTCTAGTTCACGGATGTTGTGCCTACCCGCCCTAACCGCTTCGACCGCGCAGGCGCAGATCATTACCAGTAAAGCGCTTCTGACGTCTTACTGCGCTCTGAGTGTCATTCTGCCTCCAGAATTGCCTCGAGTGCAGATTTGGGTTAATAACCTTATTTACTCTGTAAAAAGTGTCTCGTCAGATCCGCCTGGAAATGACCTAATGTGGTAACAAGCAACTTAACCAGTTTAATTCAACCTAAAATTACATTTAAAGAATCGTTCATTCAAAGTATTGATTTAGGTTGAATTAAACTGGTTAATTTATTTGTTCAACATGAACTCATTTTTAGGCAGATCTGACGAGACACTTTTTACTGTGCACTGCTGATGAGGTGGTTATCAAAATAACCCCAGACACGCCCTGCAGGCTGGACCAGCTCCAGACAGGAGGTTCTGTTAAGTGCCGTTCTGTTAAATGGTTTCATATCAGTCTAAAACAGACTCAGCTCTAGCGAGTCCGGCCCCCTTACGACGTTCTGTGCTCGTTAACAACTCAGTGCTCATACCAGCTTTTAAACAGCTTTACATACAGGAAATATGAAACGTCATCATGCTTGAAATGACAGTATTTTTCTGATGTAAAGGCGATTATTGTCTGATCTTTTCCATCTTTATTGTGACCTAAACAGAATCAAAAACACGTCTGGGTGACAGGAAGACTGGCACGATGAAGACAAACAAATGTTATGATCTGACCCTTTGTTCATTAAGGATACATGATTATTTTAATGAAATATGAAAACAGTTGTTTGTTTCTGATGAATGCATGAGAACAGAAGTAAATATTGGCTACACTGAATTCACTGGCCTGAGAAACACACAACTCAGACCCTCATCTATAAATCAGTTATTTGTTCTTCATATTTATCTAAAAAAGTTAATCAGTGCAGATCACATTTAGGAGCGTCGACATAAAAGAGCAAAAGTGCTGCTAGAATAAAAGTTAACTTCAATATTCACACAAACGCTTTTCAGCTGAACTCAGCGTCACAGAAAACCCACCGAACTTCTCAACAACCAATAGTAAAGCACTCTGTGTCATGGCCCTCCTAGTTTTGCCCCCCTATTGGGAGATTCACCCCTCCCATTTAATTGATCAACCAATCTATCTATCTATCTGTCTATCTATCTATCTATCTATCTATCTATCTATCTATCTGTCTGTCTATCTATCTATCTATCTATCTATCTATCTATCTATCTATCTGTCTGCCTGTCTGTCTGTCTGTGTGTCTGTCTTTATTTATTAATTTATTGTTTATTTATTTATTATTGTTAATTTTTATCAAAAACAGAAAGAGAATGTGCAGGAAAAGTAAAAAACGCAAACAAAGTAGTTTTCCCGCAGGCTGATTCGGACTGCATTTCCCAGAATGCGTCGGGAGATCACGTGTCTGGGCAACTTCCTACAGACTTGGAGTCCCGAATGAACTCCAATTTTTAACTCCAAACTTTCTCGCCTGTGGTCATCATCTGAAATTTAAAAAAAATATAAACATGGAAACTCTACAAAGGGTCCAAAAGGGTCACTCTCACAAAACCGCCTCAAAATGACCAAAACATACTTGATCAAAAGCATCACACAGATAAAAATATTCATATAATTCAGTAGAACAATTTGAGCTCTATAGAATGCATATTATGTCAAGTGGTTCAACAAAACTGGATCACTGTACTCAGTTAATTCTTTTAAACCACAACAGAAAAAGAAAAAAGTTCATAAAATTCATATCAGATCTATAGAGTTTCATGCAGTTGTACTGCAGCTCTCATAGAATTACACTCAGCAGTGAATTACAGGGTAAATTTCACTCACAGCCACCAAAGAGGCTCGTCAGTTTACTGTGGAGTTTAAGAAATACACATACCAAAGGAACAATAAATCAGGAGCAAAGACGGCACAAAGAGGGAGAGTAAAATAAGTAAAAGAATATCGCTGCTGTCAGAACAAAACCTCATATCAATTTTCAGTTTTTGATTTAATTTAAAAATACCTACTGTCCCAAAATGACTTGGAAAAAAGTCTGGTTCCGCTGACTTACATTAAAAGTAAAGTATATTTTTGTTTCTCCTGTAAAGTTATTATTTTGGAGATACGAGGTTTTGTTCTGTGATAAGCAAAAAGACGACATCAAGACACTGACCAAACAAACACCTCCAAAGTAAATCTGACAACTCACTGAATTCCACTGAGATCTTAATCCTCTTCCTACTTATCACCTTAAGATGTTTCTTTTTCCCAATTTAGTCATATCCCTAGTTAACCCCCCCCCAATCAAAACCAACAGGGGGCCATCCTGCCCACCCAGGGAGAGCAAGGACTCCGAGCCACAGACAGCTACTGCATCACTGGGGATCAAACTCATGATCTCTTGATGACAGGACCAATGCTTACACAGCTGCACCCCTCAGGAGCCTTTAAGATGGTTTTTTGATTATATTGAAAATGATGTAGTAACTATTGTGCAGTGTTCTCCGTCAACAGGTATTTTAGCATGGATCCTTCCACAATTAATGATTTTAGACCAATTTCAAACCTGCCTTTTTAAGTGAAGTCTTACAAAAAGTTGTTTTCAAACAATTAAATGTGTATCTAATGTCAAACAAGTTATAAGAGAAGTTTCCGTCAGGTTTTCATTCTGACCACAGTACAGAGACGGCATTGGTTCATGTTATGAATGACCTCAGGGTCAGTGCTGATGCACAAAATCCTTCTATTCTGGTTGTTAGAAATTCGGCAAGAAGAGTCAGGAGACTGGAGCTTCAGCGTTGACTGGAGTTTATTTCCACATACAGAGTATGGGTACAGCGTGGTCGATCAGCAGTCAATCAGCAGGATCAGGAGTCTAGTCTAACAAGAATATTTTGGAAGGACCTTATATACATTGAAAAACTAAAAGAGGGGGAAGGGGGAACAAAAGGACTTTGAGGAGGGGTAAGAAGGGGTAGACGGGGGGTATGAATAGAGATGTAGGGGGCAGAGATAAGGGGGGGTGATAGTATCACCATAAGGTCATGAGACAAAGGGTCATTTAAATACAAACAAAGGAGGGAGGGGGCAAGGTGAGAGTGTGACAGTTATCACTACTTCTGCAAGCAAAAGACCATTTGCTAAAACTCTACAATAAACATGGTTAAGATTATAAGAAAATAACAGACATAGAAGAGTAACATATGTTGAGAGAATTACATTAGAAAGGAAAATAACATATGGTGACAATATTTTCTCCCATGGTCTTATTAGATCTTAGCGTAGCTTTTGATACTGCTGACCACAAGATATTAATCCAGCATCTTGAATTCTGGGTCGGTTTCTAGGGCAGTTTTAAAATGGTTTAAATCAAATTCAGGTGGTAACACTTTACAATACTCTTTCATAGTTAATAACTAACTAATCAGGAACTAAGCAGGAACGAATGAGTAGTGCTGCATTAACACTTAAGTAACTACTCTTAACTACCAAGGACTACTAGTTAACTACTCAGTAGGTAATAGTGAACTAATGATTAGGGTATTTCACTATTAACTAAACAGTAACTACTGAGTCTCATAGAGAATTAATTAGTAACTACGGTTTCTTAGAATAACTACTCATAAATTCCAGATCAATTCAACATTAATTGCTCAATAGTTGAGTCTGACAAGGTCCCTGCTGAACTACTAACTGATGTAGTGTACTCCAACACTTCTAATAGTAGTGAAATACACTACACATTGTGCAGTCACTACAATATAATGGATTATACCCTACATTTCCATTCACAGAAACAGGTATCCTCAGAGAAGGCTGGGGGCATCACACCACACTACTGATTGGTGTCCCTCATGTGTTTGTTTTGATCAAATGCACATCTTCATATTTGGAAGTGTGAACCAATTTGCACATCAGCCTACATATGGGCCAACTGCTAAAATACTACAGTATTTAGTAGACCAGTCGGCTTATCTCTCATCTTGAGAAAAGAAAACACCATTCTTTTCTGCAGGATCACATGTGCCAGTGTTTCTTCTGAACAGCTATTAATAAACTAGGAGTTAATGATGATCAGGAACAGTATTATAAAGTGAAATACATTAGAAATAAAAACTGATAAAGAAATGATGTACTTCAGTAGAAAAAATATTAATAAATAATTTTTGAAAAAAGTAGGAGTAATTAAGTTGTTTATTGAGTCGTTTTTTATTCGTGAACGGTCCAAATGTGAAAACATTCCTGAGTTAACTAGCCATATCACTGAAAATAATACACCCAAAATCTGTCATTACTACTGAAGCAGAAAGTCTGAGAGCTGAGACCGATCACAGTATGTTCTGCTAGTACATTAATTACACATCTTTCTGTTTCATATCTGAGTTTTCCTGCTTATTAGCTTAGCTCACATTAGCTAAATTAACTACCTAGCTAGCATGCACTCATAACAGAACATTAGCAGCAGCTTTAGGTTTAATAAAGCACTAGCATGTGCTTATAATTCTGAAACAACACAGTAAAACAGACATTGTACAAGAAGAATGAACCTACTTAGCTCGGATTAGTTAGCAAGTCAGCTAACTGTGTCTCTACATTAGTGCTGCAGTCTGAATAAAACCTTGAATCACATTAGCGGCCTGGGGGTCTGTCATGAGTCTGATTAACTCATCATACATCAGAAGACAGAAATACCAGAACTGCGCTGCCATCGAGCAGAAAGCTCTGCGAGGGTGGTGCGGACAGCCCAGCACATCACCGGGGTCCAGCTCCCAAACCTTCTTTTATACACCAGCCGCTGCCTGAGGAAGACCAGGAGGAGTCTAAAGGACTCCACCCACTCAAGCCACTGTCTGTTCTCACAGCTGCCGAGTGGGAGGAGGTACAGAAGCATAAAGTCCAGAACCAGCTGGTTCCGACAGTTTTTTCCCCCAGGGCCATCAGGCTGCTGAACAGCCAGTAGTGCTGGTGTATTGGTCTATAGGCCTGTCACTGCACCTCTGAGTCATCATCATGATGATCTCCATAAACAATCCACACCACATACACACTATAATTAATACTACTCTATACTTACACATATAGACTGACATCTTGTACTACAAGGGGGCTACACACATAACACTTTCACTCACCGTTGAACCTGTGTAATGTGACGTGACAATGAACATGATTTGATTTGATTTGACTTCATTCTGGATGTTAATTTTATTAGAACTTCATTCTGGATGTTAATTTTATTAGAACTTCACTCTGAATGTTAATTTTATTAGAACTTCATTCTGGATGTTAATTTTATTAGAACTTCACTCTGAATGTTAATTTTATTAGAATTTCATTCTGGATGTCAATTTTATTAGAACTTCATTTTGGATGTTAATTTTATTAGAACTTCACTCTGAATGTTAATTTTATTAGAATTTCATTCTGGATGTCAATTTTATTAGAACTTCATTCTAAATGTTAATTTTATTAGAGCTTCATTCTGAATATTTATTTAATTAGAATTTCATTTTGGATGTTAATTTAAAAAAAAAAATCTTTCTGGATATTATAATTTTTATACCTTCATTCTGAATATTAATTTTATTAGAATTTCATTCTGGACGTTAATTTTATTAGAGCTTAATTCTGAGTGAACTACACTCCATAACTGTAGGGGGAGCCTAAGAGCAGAAAATACCAATGCTGTGGTGGTTGTCTTAGTTTTGGTAACTGAAACCTTGTAAAGATCCCTGAAGCCATGGGGGCTTCTGATGCTGCTAAAGCCAGATGAGATGTGGTGGTCTGTGTACCGCAGCCATGGGGTTCTTGCAGCTCCTGCAGAGGAACATTTGTGGCAAAATCTACTTATAGTGTTCCATTGATGTCACACAGTCACTCTGCCACCAGTTCAGCAGGCAGTTAGAGTGCAGCCACAGTTATGAGATAATAAAGCCATGACTGACCCAGCAAAGACTGACCCAGTAAAATGCAGAACACTCAGTTTAACCCTATTTTTAATCTGTATTAACTGGTACATTTGAGTGTTTTATGTTTAAGTTAACTATTTTATTTAATTGGTTGCTGTAGTGAGTGAATTAATACATTAATTGAGGTAAATTATTCATTGATGTAATTAATTTTTTATGTAAATTAATGCATTTATTGAAGTATATAAACACAATTATTGAAGTAAATTGATGCATTTATTAAAGTAAATTAATGGATTTATTGAGGTAAATTAATGGATTTATTGAGGTAAATTAATGGATTTATTAAGGTAAATTAATACATTAATTGAGGTAAATTAATGGATATATTGAGGTAAATTAATACATTTATTAAGGTAAATTAATGCATTTATTTAGATAAATTGATGTATTTCTTGAGGTAAATTAATGCATTTATGGAGATGAGCTGACGTTGCTTCGTATTCACCAACTTTCATAATTCATTCTACTGTTAAGGCGCCTCAGCGTACCTGCAGCTCCATTTAAGGTGGAACAGAAAATTCAGATGAGAATCTGGTGAATAAGAAGCTTCAGTTTTATATCAGTGTATGAGTTTATTATTTAAGAGCTTTGGCAGTTTTGGAGCCACTTTTATTAGTTTTTATAAAATCTCACACACTGGAATGTTCTGAACTTTGGAGACGAGCTCCATCAGAGCACAGTCAGAGTAACAGCTCACCCACCAACATGGAGACGTGGACTTCTTAATGACATGACTGAATAATGTGAAGTTGTACGTGATGCTGTTTCAGTGGTTGTAGTTTTAGCAGTAGTGACCTTATTAATTGGAGCAGCAGTAATTCAAGGGGTTGTTGCTGGTGTTACAGTAAGGAGACCACAATTCAGAAATGAAAACTAGAACATTTGCATTTGGTGGTCAATATATCATTAAAATATACAACGGTTTTTTGACCATGGTAAGTGCTTTACAGTAATAAACTATGGTGATGGCTGACTGTTAAACTGGGTATTAGCTAAATAACTTTGTAAACCATGTCAGAAAATCATACAGTGGGTACCATGGAGAGTGAAGCTGGTAAACTAGAACACTCAATAACAAAAATCATGAAACTACAATGTTTCAGTACAGTTTATTTATTTATGTATACATACATGACATTTTGAGTTATTAAGCCCATAATTCATATTAAACATTCTGGCAGTAAAAAAATTAAAAAAAATCTACAAAACTCTAAAAAACTTGTGGCTGTAGCCCAATATCCAGACCCTAAACTCCCCCCTGGGCAGCTGCAGTTCTGGACAGACAGAGTCACTGCTATCAGTATATGCCGTATGTCATATATGGAGGCTGAAAAACTGACACAGTTTAAAATGATGCTCTGTTTGTGTATCTATGTGTAGCTACATTCACTTAGACTGTCTGTCTGTACAAATCAGAGCCCACCGATCACCTGGTAGAGCGATTTAGACCCATAACTCCACCCCTGCTTTAACCCCTGGGTCACCTCGTATCCTGAAAAGACATTTGTGGTCATGTTGTGGACTCACTGGACACTTGCAAGATTCTGGTCGAGGTTTACACAGCAGTGTTCTCTAGGTGAACTAGAGTAAACTAGGTGAGCGAGTGGTTGAAGTGGTCAGTAGATAGCAGTAGCATCGCCCTCTGCTGGCCAAAACAAGCACAACGCGATACATCTGCCCATCTGCTCTGCTGCAGGTCTTTCTTGGGACTTGCTGGAGAAAACTTGAAAAGCATAATCCATTCATTGTGGGGGGATACATGAAGGGTGTTGTGAGGCAAAATAGTCCCCAAAGAAAACTTATTTAAATATTTTCCAGATTAATGTCTACTTTACCATAAATATTCCATATCAAAGTTATTTATTTACTTTGGATAGTAAATAAAATGTCTGTATTTGTGTAGTCATGGTGACCCCAGTAAAGAAATCTGACCACTGTACACCACTGTAAAGAAACCTGAGTCTGTATGTTTCTCTACAATTAATCACTTCACATCAAAACACTCTGAATGACTCTGTTTACATCTCAAAGTCTAAATCATTCAGAAACAGGATTTCCCCTTTAAATTACAGAAACACAAAGTACAGCAGAACTGATTACACGTTTCATTATTGTAGTATTGATTAATTTGGTCAAAAAAGGTCTCAGAAAACTCTTATGATGATGTCATTTGTCTAACTGAACACTGTTTGAAGTCGACTCATATCCTTCAGAGCACCCCCGTAACCAGTGGGAGACTTTGATTTTGGATCGTTCTTTGTCATCGTCCGTTGGCTCAGACTGGGTCTCTGTGGAAAAAAGGAAAAGTACAAAAGTCAGAACACAGATATAAACACAACAACTGGCTGTCAGTTACATTTCTATCATCTATCATCTAAAACTGTGCTTGTGATCAAATCCACAACTTAAGAGCTCAGTGCGTAAAATCCCCCCCTGCTATTCAGGGGTCCCCCGTTGTCTGGCTGCGAACTCATAGCGGCACTGATGCTTCAGTGTTAGTAAATGTCTGTTTTATCAGCTGTTCTTCTGTAAACTCTCTGTTCTAGTGCGGTTCTGCGCTCTTCCTCACAGTAACTGAGATCTTCCTCATCTCCTCTTCTGTAGAGTCTCTGTTCTAGTGCGGTTCTGCGCTCTTCCTCACAGTAACTGAGATCTTCCTCGTCTCCTCTTCTGTAAAGTCTCTGTTCTAGTGCGGTTCTGCGCTTTTCCTCACATTAACTGAGATCTTCCTCGTCTCCTCTTCTGTAGAGTCTCTGTTCTAGTACGGTTCTGCGCTCTTCCTCACATTAACTGAGATCTTCCTCGTCTCCTCTTCTGTAGAGTCTCTGTTCTAGTGCGGTTCTGCGCTCTTCCTCACAGTAACTGAGATCTTCCTCGTCTCCTCTTCTGTAGAGTCTCTGTTCTAGTGCGGTTCTGCGCTCTTCCTCACAGTAACTGAGATCTTCCTCGTCTCCTCTTCTGTAGAGTCTCTGTTCTAGTGCGGTTCTGCGCTCTTCCTCTCAGTAACTGAGATCTTCCTCGTCTCCTCTTCTGTAGAGTCTCTGTTCTAGTGCGGTTCTGCGCTCTTCCTCACAGTAACTGAGATCTTCCTCGTCTCCTCTTCTGTAGAGTCTCTGTTCTAGTGCGGTTCTGCGCTCTTCCTCACAGTAACTGAGATCTTCCTCGTCCCCTCTTCTGTAGAGTCTCTGTTCTAGTGCGGTTCTGCGCTCTTCCTCACATTAACTGAGATCTTCCTCGTCTCCTCTTCTGTAGAGTCTCTGTTCTAGTGCGGTTCTGCGCTCTTCCTCACAGTAACTGAGATCTTCCTCGTCTCCTCTTCTGTAGAGTCTCTGTTGATGAACCAGTCTGATACAGCGCCACCCTGAGGCAGAGCAGTGCTGCATATCAAAGACAGAGGCTCTGAGTTTTGTGGGTGAAACAGGCTAAACATGTAAAAATGAGATTTCCCTGAACATGTATTGAGTGTCTATATTTTTCTAATAGACAGCATAACGTCATAAGCTTATTTTCAGGGACCCCCCAGAATTTTGATTTTGAGACATTCAGGGGGTCCAAGAGGGTAATTAGGTGGTCCCGGACCCCCCAGGATCACCTGTATTTCTCACCTTGATTAAAATACTTTATTTAGTAATTTACAGTTAAAGATTTGTTGCTCACCCCATCCCTGATCGCTCAACATTTCCAGAAATCTTCCCATCACTGCCTCTTCTTGTCTGGTCCACTCCTGATCAAGCATCTCTTTAATCTGACTCTTGAGTGACAGGATGCTTTTAGCCTTATCCTGAACTATCCCTACATCTGCATGAGACAAAGAAACATAATTTTCTTGTAAAATGTAAAACAGATTTGAATACAATGCAATTCTGAAAATTCTTTGACAAAGTAATTAGCAAAACTTCACAATACAGCAAAGAGGTGGACCGATTTACTCACTGCAGGACTCCAGCTCTGTTTGAGACACTTCCTCATCAACACTGTCCTCTGTCTCAGTGTTTAAACACATCTCACTCACTGCAAATAATATGTAGTGTTATTTCTATTGTAAGAGCTTAAAACCAGAAACCTGGTTTCTATCATCTAACTACCATCTAAAACTGCTTATGGTTAAATCCACAGCTTAAGAGCTCATTACATTATTGTATTTAGTAATTTACAGGTGAAGACCTGTTGCTCACCACGTTTGAGCTCACTCAACATTTCCAGAAATCTTCCCATCACTGCCTCTTCTCGTCTGTTCCACTCCCGATCAAGCATCTCTTTAATGTGATCCTTGAGTTTCAGGGTGCTTTTGGCCTCATCCTGAACTGTTCCTACATCTAAATGCAGACACAGAGACAAACTGACATCATGTTTTTCTTGTATAATATAAAACAGACTTGAATACAGTACAGTTCAGAAAATTCTTGGACAATGCAATTGGTAAAAGGTTACAATATGGAAACAGGTGGACTGATTTACTCACTGCGAGACTCCGGCTCTGTTTGAGACACTTTCTCATCAGTGTGATCCTCTGTCTCAGTGTTTAATCTCGTCTCACTCACTGCAGAAAATATGTAATGTTATTTCTATTGTAACAGCTTAAAAATAGCTGAAGGCTCATGTAACTATTATAAACAGACTCACTCTTAGGAGGGTAATCCATACTTCTATCTCCCCTTTGGGGGAATGTAGCCCTTATGGCCTTCTTCACCTCTGAAACCCTTTTGACAAACTCTTTGTCTCTTCTTCTCCATTCCTCATCCACAAATCGGACAATATCCTGTAAGTCATGCTCGTCAGTAGACTTTGTTTGTGCTTCTTCTTCTTGCTTTGCATGAATTCTGCCAGTCGTCTCAGCATTCAGTTGTAATGAACTGTTTCGAGCCACCATCTGATCAATCTTCTGGAGCAGCTCTGTAACCTGAACACGATTCTCTCTGTCCTCATTGTTGAAGATGTGATATCTGTTCTCACATTTCTCGACCACCCACTGCAGAGCTTCACCTTCACTCTCAATGTGCTGCTCTATGGTCACGTCTCCAAGTATGTCACCTGATGTGAAAAGTACAATGGTGTGTCGCCACAGCTGCTCTCCAAGTAAGCTCATATTCTCTTCAATGACCTTTCTCTGTTCCTCGTGGAATGATGTGTCTGCAGGAATCACTAGAAGTATGCAGTGTGGGGGGGTGACAGTCTGACATACACCATTTAAAATTCCAGACTTTATCCATGCTGGAGTGTACTGAGCAGGAAAGTACTTAAACCAGCTGGGTGTATCGAGCACAGTTACTGGTCTTCCATCCACTTCCCCACATCCACTTTGACATTCAAGAGTACTTTTATCAGTAACAAACACTTTTTTGTTAAGGATGGTATTTCCAGCTGAACTCTTCCCAGCAATCACCCAACCCAGCAATGTGATTCTCAGCTCTGAGGAAAAAAGTACAACATTTTACAGAGAACAATAAAATATAACTCAGGAACAGAAATAGGAAGTCAGATCCATAACAGTTCCATTCTTGATAATGATGTCCTTCCCAGATCGGGACCTTGGCATGGCGGAAGGTTTTGTGTGGACTAGGGATTTTCAGAGTTATGTCATCTGGAGCAGTATGCTCCTGGTAGGGTCTTCAAGGCGAACACATATGGAGTCAAGACCCAGACTAACATGATCCAAAATCCCCTATGAATAATGGACATTATATATTGTGTACTTTGCACGGTAGAGGGTTACCAGGACCTGCCCCATGAGCCAGGCCTGGGGTAGTGTTCCTCAGCGAGTGCCAGGTGGCTGGGCAGCCCATGTAACCCTCTTGGGCTCAGCCTGAAAAGGCAAAGTAGGGGTAGCATGTGGGCCCACCACCCACCAAGTTCAGCATAGGGGACTGGTGTAGTGCCTTCTAGACAGAAGGAGATGGTGGGGAGGTCCTAGACGGCATGGACTCCTGCGGTGGAAACTGGCTGTTGGCACCTTGAATGTCACCTCACTGGGAGGGAAGGAGTCAGAGCTTGTGCGAGAGGTTGAGAGGTACCAACTAAACATAGTTAGGCTCACCTCCATTCACAGTGTCGGCCCTGGAATCAAACTCCTTGGTAGGTTGGTCCCCTTCTTACATGGGAGTTTCACAAGGTGTGTGGCACTGGCTGGGTATGGGTATATGCACAAGCCCCCAGCAGGTTGCCGTGTAGTTAGTTTGTCCTAGTGGACTGGAGGGTCTCCTCAATGTGATTTACGCTCAAACAACAGTTTTGTGTATTTGGCCTTCTTTTAGCAAATGGGTGAAATCTACGGAATCCATAGACTTGCTGGGAGACTTCAATGCTCACATTGGCAATGACTGGGAAACCTGGATAGAGTGATTGGGACGAATGGCCTGCTCGATCTAAATTTGAATGGTGAATTGTTATTGACTTTCTGTGCTAGTCATGGATTGAACACCATGACTGAACACAAGGATGTTCCTAAGTGCATTTGGTACCAGAGCTCCTTGGGTCAAAGGTCAGTGATCAACTTTTTTAATTGTTTCATCTGACTTGAGACCATTCTGGACACTCAGGTGAAGAGAGGTGCTGAACTGCCAACTGATCACCACTTCTCCGGGCCATTCAATCTCTATATTTCCGGAGTGAGAACTGTGTTCATATACTCACCCGGAAAAGGATGGTATGACTCCTCCAGATAAGGGGAGAGGACCTGCCCCAGGTGGAGGAGTTTAAGTATCTTGGGATCTTGTTCATGAGTAATGGGAGGAGGGATGGTGAGATTATCGGCTGGGACAGGCAGCAGCAGTAATGCTGTCACTGTACTGGACTGTAGGGGTGAAGAGAGACCTGAGCCATAGGGCAAAGCTCTCTGTTTTACTGGTCAGCCTATATCCCGACCCTCACCTATGGTCATCAGCTTTGGTCAATTATCGAAAGAATGAGATTGCACAGGGTAGTGGGCAATGGCCTACTTGATATGGTGAGAAGCTCAGTCCTCTGGGAGGAGCTCAGAGTAGAGCCACTACTCCTCCACACTGAAAGGAGCCAGTTGAGTTGGTTCAGGCATCTAATTAGGATGCCCCCCTGGCTGCCTCACATTGGAGGTTTACCAGGCATGGCCCACCGAGACGAAACCCAAGGTCATCCCAGGACCCACTGGATGGATTATATCTCCAAGTTGGCCTGGGAGTGGCTCGGGATCCTCCAGAATGAGCTGGAGGAAATTGCAGGGGGACAAGGCTGTCTGGGCTTCTCTGCTTTCCCTATTGCAACTGCGACCCTAGCTGGATCAAGCAGAATAAGAATATGATATTGATGATGATTGACAATGATGAGTAAAAATGTCAAAAAAAGGGAGTTCCACTTCGCGTTTTTTGACATGCTTAATGGTGCGCTGGCTCTCCAAAGGCCCGCACTAAGCAACTGAATAAGCAAGAGATCACAGCTGCTTGATTTTTTTTTTTACAGTGGACATTTTAAAACATGCAAGATGAAATTGATCATTCATCCTTGCTGGTGCCATGGTACCTAGAGTATGAATCCAAAATGCTTCCCATTTTAAAATCTTGTTATTGATGTCCTCATCTCTCCTACCAAGTGTGACTGCTTCTATATTGATACATCCAAGAGCTTAAACATTGTGATCGAGCCACTGGTGAATTAAAGAGATCTTAAAACATTTAATGTTAATCTTACCTTAGCCGATGCAAAAAAACAAGATTGTCTTATTTTAAGAAAATAAGTAGGATCATCTTGAGTGACTATTTAAGAACTTAAGACATCACTATATATATATATATGTATGAGGACTCTGGAGAATTAGGAGAGAAAATCTGTATTGGGAAGTGATTTCAGCTCTGTATTCTCAGTTATGTTGGCAAATGGAGGTTGCACAAATTTCTAAATATTAACTTGAAGATCTGTGAATAAATTTACATCAATTAAAGGTTTGATTTTTTAACACTTTTTCAGTGTGAGATTGAGCTAATCAACCATGATGATGTTTTTTCACCAATCTGACTGTTACTTACCCTCTTTCTCAAGATGTTCTCGTTGTTTTAACTCTCTGGACTTTGCTCTGGTCATCACAGTCCTCTTCCACTCTGCAGCCTCCTCCAGTATCTTTGCCTCAATTTGGAAATGAGCACCACCATTTATTCGCACTATGTTCTCAATCTTTTCCAGCAGCTCCTTCACCTGAGATGTTTTATCTAAGACTGTACTGTCAAAGGCATAATATCTGCTCCCACATTTCTCTATCAGCCACTTTAGAGCTTCTCCCTCTTTTTCAATGTGCTGTTCTTTAGTTCTTTTCCCCAGAGAGCGGCTTCTAGTGAACAGCACAAGAGTGTGTGTCCAGATCTGGTCACCAAGGAGTGCAAGGTGATCCACTGCAGCTTTTCTGTGCTTCTCTGTGAATGGAATGTCAATCTCAATGACCAACAGGATCACATGGGGTCCTGGATGGCACAAAGAGACTCCTTGAATGAGCTCCTTTTTCAGAAAGTTTGCAGTGTCGCTCAGTGGAAAATGCTTCCACCAGCCTGGAGTGTCAACCAACGTCAGCTCTCTTCCACACACATTTCCCTGTAGCTTCTCACACTGAGCAGTCCTCTTCTGATTCGGCAGGAAGCCTTTTCCAAACACGGCATTGATCAGTGTGGTCTTCCCAGCAAACTTCCCCCCAAACACCACAGCTCTGAGCTCTACAAAGCAGAGAACAACAGACAGACAGTCAGAGGGATAAAGGGATAAACTGACTCATCATGGGAGGGAAGAGTATTAGTACAAAATGTAACATGTCTTTATGTCTAACATATGCCCTAACAGAGTCCCTGAAATATTAATACTACCTGAAGTAATAATATTCTTTAATGGAAATTTGAAAAATATCCAAAGCTGCATGTATCATAGTTCTAAATCACATGCCAATGAAGTTCTGATCCAGCACCCAAGGGGTTTCCCAAAGACTGGAAATGTCAAAATTATATATTTCCTTGTGATTACAAAAGTATGCACAGTATTTTGGTGGTATTTATTAAATTTATACACAATATTAGACAAATTGTAAAAAGTATATTAATTAATGAATGTTAATGCTTCTTAAAGAATGTCAAAAAAGTTTATTGCACATTTTCCCACAAAGGTTCAGCCCAAACCAGTTCCCTTTCAGAGAATATGTTTCCTGTCTTCAATCTCAGTGATTCAACATTAAGAATGGTTAATTTGAAAAGCTTAATTACCACCTGCTAAATGTAGTTTACATTTTAAATGTGTCACAATTATCCCAGAATCATCAATCTGAGAATATGATAACCTTTTTATACCATACCACGTTTGATTACACTCCTGTAGAAAAATAGAGCATGCAGACATCTGTCTTGGACCACTGAATCAGTATACACTTCTAACGCAAAGACCAGTTAATGAGGTTTTGTTATCTAAAATCAACCAGATAAGTTCTCTGTTATGGCTTAAAGCTTTGTGTAGATCAGTTTCTGGAGACACCTTGTCAGTGAGCTAACTTAACAAACTTTGCTATCCACAAGCAAACAAAGTACTAAAAGTCTGACACCGCTCACTGTACTTTAGCTGAGGAAAGCACATATCACCCTGTGTTAGCAGGATTATAGTAGGTTTAGTGAGAGAGATCTAAAATACACTTTAAAGGACGCTGAGTAGTTCAATCTGAACCCACATTAAAATTAAGAATAATCTGATCTCTGAATCCTTTTATAAGACTACATTTGAACTTTTTATAATAAGTGAAGTTGTTTGAGGCAGCTAGATTCAAGATTCCTCTGCGGATGGCTCCAGACAGGACAGAAACTCTGTTCGGCAGACTTCACTGCTAAGATGCTTTGTGATGGCTGGGATGCATGACTAGATGTTGTGCTGTGTGTGGGAGGAGCCTGTGCCTGGGAAACCTAAGGAAGATGGTGTTGGGCACAGTGCATGGAGCAGCTGGCATTGGACCCTTCGGAGCGGGCAAGACACTGAAGCAGTTGCAGCCGAGGCTCTACTGGCTAAACCTAACCCTAACCCAAGGACACAGGCCTGAGAGAGGACTGGGGTTCCTGGGGTGCCTGGGGGTGCACTTGTGGGCCACGCTGCCATGGGGATGGGGTTTGGCCATGCAAAGTGCCTCTCAGGAAGCAATTAATATTGCACATGTTGAAATTTATGACTCTAATATGTGTTATGACTTCACGACGGTTGTGTTGTTTTTTATCATGTTCTTTTCTGTGTATTTACTAATTAGTGTGTCCACCACTTTTATTTCAAAAGCATTTCAGCTGAATTGCAGTGAATGCTGCACTTTGAATCTAAGCAGTATTTTAAATGTTCAATGTCTAAAATTTCGAAATTGAAAATGGAAAAAAATAACTTAAATCTGACTCACTGAGTTTTTGATGGATTTAAAAAACTTTTGATTTGCAATTTGATCCACTTAAATAAGACGTTTACTTTTCTACACTCTCATTTTTTAAACTAATATTTTAGATGGTTAAGGATCTATTGAACCTTCAAGACTGCTAATCGATTACTGAACCTCCGTCATCAAGCTAACTAGCTATATCAGTATACAGGTAGTATCAGTTTTTACAGATAGTATCAGTTTTTACAGGTAAGGTACGCTCAGTACTGTTAGGACAAGTATGGGCAAGTACATTTTAGTTACAGGTTTATTCAAAGGCCTTTTTCTAAATTAAAGCGGTTTGAATTTCTAACCATAATTTAGAGCGAATAACACCATTAATCAGACGTGTATGGACACAGTGTTTATGGAGCTATTGACGTTTTATTGTCTGGCGGTGTCTGTTGTTAGCATGAACAATTAAAATATATATTTAAATGCACTGAAACGCTTTGGAGGAAAACAGAGGCGTGTGCATGGATGTAGGCGTGGTCTAGAAGTGCATGATTTTCCGACTGAAAAACTTGTCTCAGTTCTATGGTATTAACACAAAATAGCGGTACATTAAATGTCACCCAAGCTGCAAAAGAACAGGTGTGCATCACTCTCTGTGGTCGGACTGTCATGAATGTGTAAGTCTTCGCTGACTACCGTGGTCCGATCAAATGTTATTAGCGCCGAAAAGACGAATATCGAAAATAAAACTAACTTTACCGTGGTGTCTCAGATCAACCTAAAAAATTACTTCAGTTTATTCTTTCAGTTTTATAATAAATACTATGAATAAACGGTTCTTTCAATCAGACTAATTTTTGAGATGGATAAAACTGGTTAATTTATTTGTTACGACATGAAGTCATTTTTAGTTTGATCTGATGAGCCACTTTTTACAGTGTAACACTGAACCATCCAGGTGACGCAGCTCCAACGAGACTCTGCTGATTTTATTCCGCACTGGAAACTGAACGGTGGGATCTTTACTCACCCATCAGGGGACGGACTGAGTCTGCTCCGCTCTCAGATCTCTCCTCACCCATCAGGGGACGGACTGAGTCTGCTTCGCTCTCAGATCTCTCCTCACCCATCAGGAGACGGACTGAGTCTGCTCCGCTCTCAGATCTCTCCTCACCCATCAGGGGACGGACTGAGTCTGCTCCGCTCTCAGATCTCTCCTCACCCATCAGGGGACGGACTGAGTCTGCTCCGCTCTCAGGTCTCTCCTCACCCATCAGGAGACGGACTGAGTCTGCTCCGCTCTCAGATCTCTCCTCACCCATCAGGAGACGGGCTGAGTCTGCTCCGCTCTCAGATCTCTCCTCACCCAGGGTTAGTTTTACGTTCTATTTCGGACTCTTTCTGCTCCCGGACTCCTCAGAGGTCAGGAGACGATGCTGAAATCACGAAGTGTCCGCAGTTCACAGTTACTTTCGATTCTAGTTCACGGGTGTTGTGACTACCCGCCCCAACCGGTCCGACCGCGCAGGCGCAGATCATTAATGTAGTCTAGCGCTTCTAACGTCTTACTGCGCTCTGAGTGTCATTCTGCCTCCAGAATTACTTCGAGTGAAGATTTGGGTTAATAATCTCATTTACACTGTAAAAAGTGTCTCGTCAGATCTGCCTGAAAATTACCTAATGTGGAAACAAGCAACTTAACCAGTTTAATTCAACGTAAAATTACATTTAAAGAATCGTTCATTCAAAGTATTGATTTAGGTTGAATTAAACTGGTTAATTTATTTGTTCAACATGTACTCATTTTTAGGCAGATCTGACGAGACACTTTTTACTGTGCAATGCTGATAAGGTGGTTATCAAAATAACCCCAGACACGCCCTGCAGGCTGGACCAGCTCCAGACAGGAGGTTCTGTTAAGTGCCGTTCTGTTAACTGGTTTCATATCAGTCTAAAACAGACTCAGCTCTAGCGAGTCCGGCCCCCTTACGACGTTCTGTGCTCGTTAACAACTCAGTGCTCATACCAGCTTTTAAACAGCTTTACATACAGGAAATATGAAACGTCATCATGCTTGAAATGACAGTATTTTTCTGATGTAAAGGCGATTATTGTCTGATCTTTTCCATCTTCATTCTGACCTAAACAAAATCAAAAACACGTCTGGGTGACAGGAAGACTGGCACGATGAAGACAAACAAATGTTGACAAACAAATGATCTGACCCTTTGTTCATTAAGGATACATGATTATTTTAATGAAATATGAAAACAGTTGTTTGTTTCTGATGAATGCATGAGAACAGAAGTAAATATTGGCTACACTGAATTCACTGGCCTGAGAAACACACAACTCAGACCCTCATCTATCTAAATAACCTACCTGCAGTTTTAATGCTGGTAGTATTTTCTGAGAAGGTGATTTGGACAAAAATCAAAATGTCCAGCAGGCAGGTTTATGTAGCATTTACCTGTAAATATAGGACATTTATATCCTAAACAACTGTCTCCATTAAAAATCATCACAAGATGCAAGCAGGAGTCAGACTGGCATGCTCACTTTGGCTCCATTTTTAACAAAAAAAAGAAAGAGAATGTGCAGGAAAAGTAAAAAACCCAAACAAAGCACTTTCTCTGCAAGAAAAAAAGACAAAAATATATATAATTTAAATAAATAAAAAAACCTGAAAGTTGTATTGAAAACTGTTCATAGCAATTAGGAAGAAGACTGTGTGTAAAAGAGAAAATAGATAAAAATCAGCTGTGACCATTCTATCAAAGCTCTTCTGAAAAATATATAAACACCTGATGTTACTTTAGAAATTTGGCCCAAATAATATTACAGTAGGAAATGTGAGAATAAATCAAGTATTTTTGTGGCAGTTTGCATTTGATTCTACTGAAAACACCAATATTGTTTGCTATTTTATTCAATATTAAGGAAATATGTTCTTTCCAGCACTGTTTTTCATGAGTAAGTTTACCAAGGAATTCAGTACAGTGGAGTGAATATGTGAGTAAACACCCAGACTGGAGGAAGAGTATCAATGACTTTTCTTTTTAGGGCTGAAAAGCATGTTTGAACTTTTTGTTGTTAAGGAAAAATGTATCAGCTTTAAACCAGTGATTCATATTTGATCATTCTGGCTCCATCAGCATCCACTGAAAAAACGGTTTATGATTAGCATGTTCCCAGAGGTTGTGCGCAAACAAAATATATAACATCAGCACTGCTGGAGCCTATCCCAGCTGTCATTGGGCAGAAGGCAGGATACACCCTGGACAGGTCGCCAGTCCATCGCACGGAAGACAGACAGACATACACAATCACACACACTCACACCTAGGGGCAATTTAGCATGTCCAATCAGCCTGACTGCCTGTCTTTGGACTGTGGGAGGAAACCAGAGTACCCGGAGGAAACCCACGCAGACATGGGGAGAACAGGCAAACTCCACACAGAAATGACCCTGGTCGCCCAGCCGGGAATCAAACCCAGGCCATTCTTGCTGTGAGGCGACAGCGCTACCCACTGCACCACCGTGCCGCCCTCATCATCTGCAATTTAACAAAATATAAACATGGAAACTCTACAAAAGGGTCCAAAAGGGTCACTCTCACAAAACCGCCTCAAAATGACCAAAAAAAATTTGATCAAAAGCATCACACAGATAAAAATATTCATATAATTCAGTAGAACAATTTGAGCTCTATATTATGCATATTATGTCAAGTGGTTCAACACAGCTGGGTCACTGTACTCAGTCAATTCTTTTAAACCAAAGTAGAAAAAGAACAAAGTTCATAAGTTTCATATCAGATCTACAGAGTTTCATGCAGTCGTACTGCAGCTCTCATAGAATTACACTCAGCAGTGAATTACAGGGTAAACTGCACTTACAGCCACCAAAGAGGCTCATCAGTTTAAGAAATACACACATCAAAGGAACAATAAATCAGGGGCAAAGACGGCACAAAGAGGGAGAGTAAAACAAGTAAAAGAATATCGCTGCTGTCAGAACAAAACCTCATATCATTTTTCAGTTTTTGACAAAATTTAAAAATACCTACTATCCTTTAAAACGTGTAGATTTCATGATTAACAGACCAAAAGAAATGACCCAAAATTACTTGGAAAAAAGTCTGGTTCTACTGACTTACATTAAAAGTAAAGTATATTTTTGTTTCTCCTGTAAAGTTACCGTTTTGGAGATGCGAGGTTTTGTTCTACGATATGCAAATAGACGACATCAAGACACTGATCAAACAAACACCTCCAAAGTAAATCTGACAACTCACTGAATATCACTGAGATCTTGATCCTGTTCCCACTTATCACCTTTAGATGTTTTTTTCTGAATTTAGGCATATCCAATTCCACCCACTAGTTAGGATGCAAAACCAACAGGGGGCCATCCTGCCCACCCAGGGAGAGCAAGGACTCCGAACCACAGACAGCTACTGCATCACTGGGGATCAAACTCATGATCTCTTGATGACAGGACCAATGCTTACACAGCTGCACCCCTCAGGAGCCTTTAAGATGGTTTTTGATTATGTTGAAAATGATGTATCAACTATTGTACAGTGTTCTCCATCAACAGGTATTTTTCCAGACGCTTTTAAAACTGTCTCTAAAAAGAGTAGCATGGATCCTTCCACAATTAATGATTTTAGACCAATTTCAAACCTGCCTTTTTAAGTGAAGTTTTAGAAAAAGTTGTTTTCAAACACTTAAATGCATATCTAATGTCAAACAAGTTATATGAGAAATTTCATTCTGACCACAGTATAGAGACGGCATTGGTATATGTTATGAATGACCTCAGGGTCAGTACTGATGCACAAAATCCTTCTATTCTGGTCTTATTAGATCTCAGTGCAGCTTTTGATACCGCTGACCACAAGATTTTAATCCAGCATCTTGAATTCTGGGTTGGCCTCTAGGGCAGTTTTAGAATGGTTTAAATCAAATTTAGGTGGTAACACTTTACAATACTGTTTCATAGTTAATAACTAACTAATCAGGAACTAAGCAGGAACGAATGAGTAGTGCTGCATTAACAGCAGTAACTACTCTTAACTACCAAGGACTACTAGTTAACTACTCAGTAGGTAATAGTGAACTAATGATTAGGGTAGTTCACTATTAACTAAACAGTAACTACTGAGTCTCATAGAGAATTACTTAGGAACTATGGTTTCTTAGAATAACTACTCATAAATTCCAGATCAGTTCAACATTAATTGCTCAATAGCTGAGTCTGACAAGGTCTCTGCTGAACTACTAACTGATGTAGTGTACTCCAACACTTCTAACAGTAGTGAAATACACTACACATTGTGCAGTCTCTACAATATAATGGATTATACCCTACATTTCCATTCACAGAAACAGGTATCCTCAGAGAAGGCTTGGGGCATCACACCACACTACTGATTGGTGTCCCTCATGTATTTGTTTTGACCAGAAACCTTAAAAGGCTAATGTACATCTTTATATTTGGCAATGTGAACCAATTTGCACATAAGCCTACAAATGGGCTAAATGTTAAAATACAACAGTATTCAGTAGACCAGTCTGCTTATCTCTCATCTTTAGAAAAGAAAACACCATTCTTTTCTGCAGGAGCATGTGTTCCAGTGTTTCTTCCGAACAATAGTTCTCCTTTAAAGTCCTCTTGAGGGCAGGGTCAGTTGAATAGAGTTCACATCGAAATATCTGAATGTGTATGTGTCCTGCCTTCACATTCACTTGCTTCTACATATTACCAAGTGATTATGTGATTACTGCCTGTTAAATAATGAATGAGGTGTTGTTGTTCTTCATTAGGAGCTAATTATGATCAGGAACAATATAAAATAAAACAATGGTAACTCATTATTAATAAACTAGGAGTTATGATGATGAGGAATAGTATTATAAAGTGAAACACATGGTAACTCATTTTTAATGAACTAGGAGTTAATGATGATCAGGAACAGTATTATAAAGTGAAACATAGTAACTAATCATTAATGAACTAGAAGTTAATGATGATCTGGAACAGTAGTATAAAGTGAAGCACATTAGAAATAAAAACTGCTAAAGAAATGATGTACTTCTGTACAAGAATTATTGATATATAAGAGTAAGAGTTGCTTAGTCTTTTTTTATTTGTGAACAGTCCAAATGTGAAAACATTCCTGAGTTAACTAGCCATATCATTGAAAATAATACACCCAAACAAAATGAAATCAAAATCTGTCATTACTACTGAAGCAGAAAGTCTGAGAGCTGAGACCGATCACATTATGTTCTGCTAGTACATTAATTACACATCTTTCTGTTTCATATCTGAGTTTTCCTGCTTATTAGCTTAGCTCA